TATTTTTTTACGTTGAAAAGAAACTTTTGAACCTCTTTGCACGAAAAAAAAAATATTTTTTTTTTTTTTTGAATCACCCTAATATATATATAGCTGCCAAGTGTGTAAAGCACAGAAATTACTTGATTTAACTAGCGTTAGCCCAAATGGTAACTTTAGACCTGATGGGACTGCTTTCAAGGTGATCTAAACGAAACCGATTTTTGCTAGTTGTATGTTGTATGAGATTGGTTTACTAAGTTTGGTTTATTGAAACCTTTGCGACAGATACCAAGTAATAGTATCACAATATTTCTAAAAGAGAACGTCTTTCGTACCTTCGGCGTCCCACAGGTAATTGCATGCGACAGTGAGAAACAACGAGCAATATTATGTATCTGATACCAGCTGATTATGATAGCATTGAATCTTTTTTTGTTTGTTTGTGATGTGAAGTTGCGATCCACGAATTAATCATTGAAATAACACCTGATTTAATCTCATGTAAATTTGTTGCTGTTGAACATTGTTGATAAGATAATATAACATCACATTTGTTAGCTTTGCGGTCCAGTAATTTATTTAATCTTCGTTAGAACTTAAGGAGTACAAATTTCAGATTAATGCGCTCACTTGTAAAAGGGATGCTAACCCTGACAGTTTTTTAATTTGTTGGTTTGGTAGTCAGTAAAAGGGAGGAAGCCTTTGTTTAACGACAATCAATCGTAACTTCTATGACGACTCAGTTGTTTCCAACACGCGCGGCTAATTCTTGCGGCCTTTTAATCGGAAAAAAGTGCGGACTTTCGTTCAACGCGGAACACGTGCTGTAAATTTGTTTTATTGTTTGTAAATTCACCAGTCAACACAACACAACAGTTAACACAATTTAACAATCAGGATTATTTAAAATAAACCATTTGCTAGAAGATTTCATGAAATTCACTTAGTCAGGACAATAATTCTTTGTTTAACAAATTACGAATAGGTTTCTGGATGCATATACGTAAGTGTTACATTATAATACGTCTTAATTCTTCCCACTAGATTGCTAATAGTTCATTTACGGCAGTTAAATTAACAAAATCCATACTGCGAACTGGCGGGGGGTTAAAATAACTTCTTCCCTTAGGCGATTATCATCAACAAATATTTTGTTGATGAATGTTTCCATCGTATAAATTATTTGATGTCCAATTTTAATCTCACATAATAATTATTTGTTGTTTAAAATTCCACAAGAGTGTATGGCGAATTTAAATATTGTTCATGGCTCTTTTGAAACTTCAACACTTGTTCAGTTGTTGTTAATATCAGAGTCATAAGAAATTGAACATTTAAAATTGAATTGGGGTTAAATAATACAGAAAACGAGATTCATCGCGTCACCCTGCACAAGTCCGCAGGTTTGGATAGATTCAGACTCGGCCGCCGATGTTGTAACGTTCTCGGCTTCGTGCTAGCCTAGATCCAACTACGGGTCTGGCGACCGTAACGGCCTAGTTTCGGACAGCATGTTCGTCCTAGAGATGTGTAATGTGCTGTTTGGGTAGGCTTTGCGATAGAATCACTGTCAAGGGGGGAGAACAGCCCCGACCGGTAGCCCCAAACTCCGCTTATGCTAGAACGCCCCAGGGGTACTTTTGTTGTGCTCCTGTTAACTGCCATAACTCTAAATTTGACGTCACACGCCCGTAATAACTTGTGTATTTACATCCAGTTACATTAATTCAGATTTTGCTTTGTTTTTATTAAATTTGTGATATTCAAATATTTTAATTGATCCAAACAGATGTATAGGATTTTGTGTTTGTTCGTTTTTCATATGCGTATGTCTGTCAATTCGTGCTTGTCTTTTCTTTCATATTTTTAAGGTGTTTCATTTGAAATGTAATATGTCCGTGAATATACGATAGGGGGTTTTGGGTTTGAGGAGTGAATGCGAGATGGCAAGTCCGCGCAATTTTTTTTGCCCCCTCCTAAAAATGTTGTCTATTATTTCTTGCGCTCTCTAATCGCACGCAGTGTATGCTCACTTGTATGAAAGAACTTAAAAAAAAACACAACGTAGGTCCTCACTTTGTTAGACGATCACAGTCAAGGCCAAATTTTAAATTTTTTGCGGGTCTTTCAAATTTTTTCAAAGTCAATTTAAAGGCGGCAAGTTTGGATTATCAGTGTTAAATTTTATTTCTTGAAATGTGATTTTATTAAAGCATCACTGTTTTTACGCTTTGTATTTACGAATGAATTTCGAAAATTTTGATTTCAGTAAGGTTTACTTTACTTTCTTTAATTTTAGAAAACATTAACTTACCAAATTTTTTGCAGGTCCTGAAGATTAGAAGCTCAGCTCTCACTGATTTATTTTTTATTGTGAAAAAAAAATGTTAACACCCTTTTATTACAGGTTGGAATAAGTGTAAACGATGTACCTACAGTTTGTGCATCCATTTCTTTTTTGTATATTTTAATGTGTACCATTTCAATGGGATTTGCTGCTGTATTAATAAAACTTCAAATATTCTTTGCTGTATAAAACAACTACGAAGCTTATATTATATAATAACAAAAATAGTGTAGTAAGCCGTTTCGAACCAAATTTCCGCGCGCCAAACTTTTGGTAAGAAAAGGGATAGAAATGGAAAGAAACAAAAACCACTAAGAGGGAGGTGCGCAGAAGGGTGTGTTGGAGAAGGGTAAGCCGCGGCCATATTGACTTGGTCTTTCTTTCGAGTAAGACGTCAAGTTGGTGCTCTCTGCGTTTTCCAAGTGTCTGTGCGTTTTGTTTCCGTTTTCAGCGGTGATTCCTTTCAACGGAGTTCCATCCCCCTGACGAACCAGCGAACGTAAGATTTCTCTGCTCGATTTCGAACAGAGAGAGGCCTATTTCGGTGGTGAACACGTGTTTGGTTTGGAGATCCAAGAGGTATGTCTTCCACGTGATTCCGTGTGTGCTGATGGAAGAAGCGGCGTTGCTTCTCGATGGTTACGGAGTAGGTGAGACGCGGGAACCACACATGTGAGCTTCGCGGGTGTCACATACGCGAACGGATGCTACAAAAATGGCGGCGCTTCCGGATGACGCCGTGGCCGTAAATTTTCGTACTAATCTTTTCAACATAATTTCAATCCGTTTTAGTAGGGCTTTTCAGGGAATTACGTTAGCTAGGGCAGTTTTATTTAGCGAATGTTATGCGGAAAGTTGGATGGCAATTTTCGAGGTATTATTTTGCGTTGCATAATTTCTGCACGTGTGAGTAATGTAAATTCAAACATAATCTGAACAAGTGAATTTTTAACAAAATTAACGCTGAGAACGGCATTAGAAAATTAATAATATTAGAGTCTGGGGGACGGGGGGATTTCTTTGTGTTAGTAACATCGATTAATTAGGCACATTAATTTGACCGACGTTATAATATCCAAGGTAATTGAATGGCTTTTCCTCGATTTATTATTCGTTTATTATAAACTCTAATTCTGGAAAATTTCATGTAAGTTTTCAAATATTCAACCGTTAAAAATAGAAAGAGAAAGTGTTAGGGTGGGGGTACGGGGTGTTGACCGGGGAATTGCAAGGGCGTCCTTTGTGAGCTTTTGTATTAGTCATCGGGGATTTGTTGTTGACCGAAAGTTTTGTCGATGAATTTGAAAATTAATGTTATTGAAAGGAAGGTACAATTCAAAACGAATGTGCACCTACGATTACCTATATGTTATTTATTTTGCATATTTTATGTGTCGTATTTTATCTGTTGTTTGTTTATTTCGTATGTTTTTTTTTTGAGTATTTTGTTTGGGGATGTGTTGAAGGGGGGGGGGGTTTGTTTGTTTAATTCGGTCAACAACGTAACTTTGCCCAGACCAATTTAATGCAGTCGTAACTTCTTTGTTTAAGGTCAGATAAACATTTCAATAAAATCCATAGCTTTTTCTTTTCTCTTTGATAAAAGTCAACGACGTAAATGTAGCTTAATTTAATAAAATCATTGCCAAAATGTGAATAATTTAATCTCTTTCAAAATTCTTATTCTTTAAAGTTATTGATAAAAACATGAATAATCTCTCGCTTTATTTTCTTTATTGTATAAGATTGTTGATCACACGTGCATAATTTAATCTCATTTAAATTTCTTTGTTATTTAAAATAAGTGTTGATGGAGTGTGGCCAATTAAAATTACGCTTATTGCTTGTCTGAAATCCAAATACTCATTTTGATAACGCTAGTTAACTCGGGGGTCGTGTGGCGTGGACGCGGTGGCGTCGGCGTCTCCGTGCGAGTGTCTGCGGGTCTTGCTAGACTTCCGGCCCTAGCGGACTCGGAGTTTTACCGAATTACCTTGTACGCGGGAAACAGGAAGGTCAACCTATGTCAGGTGGGTGCGTAAGACCACGCGCGTGAAGTGGTGAGGTAGGACTATGTGGACCTTCACGAGGTGTGGGGCCTTCGCCCTGTGCTCGCTGCGCGCCCCCATTTTGTTTGTAGAGGCCACACTACCGTAATATCTGGGACGTTGCCATCCATTTACTTTCTGAGAATTCCGCGACCTTTTATTTTGTTTTTTTTGTTGTACTTGTAAGGTTGCTAATATTTATTCTATGTTCTCAGGTTCGAGTGAAAATAAAGGTTTTTTTTTCTCTGAGGAATAAATTCTTTAAGCTCTTCTGGGGCCCTTGGCCAAGGTCCCTTGAGCTCTTATTGGATTTATTTTTCATAGTTTTTTTTTTCCAAATATAAGTTTTTTAAATCCGTCACTCTTCCCGCTCCGCAGTGCGCCAATTTGTATGAACGAACGCCTCCCGCCAGTTTTCAAAACACAATGTAGGGTCCCACTTTTGTAGACGATCACAGCCAAGGTCAAATTTTAAATTTTAGCGGGCTTTTTCAAATTTTGTTCAATGACAAATAAAAGGCGGGAGGTTTGGGTTATTACAATAGTAACACCGTTACATAAATATAGATGTGGAACAAAATTTAAATGGTACTTAATACACCCTTGAAAAATAAATAACAATAAAAAATTAATATTTTAATCTGTTTGTAGAGCATAGTGGGAACACTTTAAATACAAAACCGGCAACACATGTTTGGTGAAGTCTTGAAACGGTAAGGCGGACAATCTTCAGGCTTTGATATTAAACTTACTAGCGACTGGATATAAAAATAAAGTTTTTTTAAATTCAGTAAGATCGTCCACAAAACACCGTTCCTCTTTTTCACTTTCCATTCTATTACTAGTAGAATGTATAAAGTTCAATTGTAATTTCGATCCTGCAATGAATGAAACTTAGCCATTTAGTGTTACGCAGCTAAAGATCTTTCACCTTTACCTTTTGAATTTTGTGCGGTGTCCTTATTCTCTTCTGTGGCGGGATCATTTGAAGTTTTGAAACCTGCAACCTAAACAAAAAATAACACAACAATTCTGCGTAACCACTCACATACTTGAACACTTAATTTCCTACAATTCAGATTACCAGGAACAGTGTGTGCTTGCCACCACCGTTGTACGTCTTCGAGGGTAATCTTTTGAACCTCCTCGATTTCCTTCTTGATTCTGTCAAATATGTATTCTTCATCGGTGATCTCAGTCCAGTTTCTGTTGACTTCTTCTTTTAGATGTACATCGACACAACGCTTCGTTTTTATAAAATCTTTTTTTATATCTTCAAAAGATTCCTTAGACATGCTTGTCAAAATATTTGCTGCTTGTTCTACAAAGGTCTCCATACGCTGTTCAACAAATGCGGTAGTGTTTTTAGTAGCTTGTGCGTGGACAGTTATTGTAAAACCTATAATACCAAAAGTATCTCTAGTGGAACACTGAACGTCATATCCTAATTGTTCTTTTGTACGCAGGGTATCAAAAAGAGGCTCTTCTAAAATCAGCTAACCAGAAAATAGAACATTCATACTACACTACAATAAAGATTTTACCATTAAAAGATCTATTATAACGCTGTCTTTAATCTGATAAGACCCACACTGGTAGTAGTTGGTCACGACAGAATTAGAGTCGTTCTTGTTAAATGATTCTATAGCACAAAAAGATTCTCCTCTTGGTATTTGGCTCACCCGGAACTTAAAAGAAATAAAACAATAAGTTGCGAAGTCAAAACGTAAAACACTTACATTTGGATATTCCAAAGGATTTATGGGTTGACATTGTAGTGTCGCAACCAGATTGCTTATTATATTAATCGCATAATTTCGTGAGACATTTCCTTGGACCAGAGCTTTAATGTACAATGTCTTTACAAATTCGTCCGCAAAGGTTTGTATGTCCTCGAACGTGATCGTCGAAGCGACCATAAACTTATCCATGAGAGACTGATAATTGGCTATTAAGATAGTCAACCTAAGTTCCCTGCACAAAAAACGTATACTAAACGAAATCAAAATTTTTTCCACTTACTTTGCTAAACCACTGGGTTTCAATAGGCGATTATAGTAATACTTAATCAGTTTGTCTTTCATTGCGTTGAACATTTCTTGGGTTAAATTTTTTTTGAAAGTTAATAAATGATTCGCAATTAATTCAATCAACACCTAAAACATTTTGTTTGCTTTTCTTAGTTTTCATAAAATAATGTATACAAGTTATTTTAACTATTTATTATGATGCAGTCGTTAAATCCTAGTAAAATTTAAAAATAACTAAAACTTACATATAGTTTTTGATTATACCCTGACACTCCTATTACAATTCCTTTATCGTGAGTTCTAAACGAATAAGATAAGTGAGCTACTTGTGCAGGATAACCTTCTTCGGCTAGCGAAATCTGCATTAAGCTCATGTAAAGGTCCGTTAAAGCTGCTCTAAAATATTAATATTTATGTACTAATTTTTTATGTAAATGTATACTTATTTATTTATCAATAAAAGTCAAGAATATGCATACACTAAAAAATGTAAAATTAAAATTTGAGGTTTCACTTACAATTTCGGTGTTTCGATAGTCTTCGGATTTATGAAGTAAAAATTGTAGTACGCAATTGGCAATTTGAATTTTTGATCTTTTCTGTGCCATAGTTCCACTACTTCTGTACCCAATACTTTTTCAGGGTATTCTGGGTGTTTTTCGTCTTCTTCAAGAATAGTAAAATCTTCAGTTAAAAACACATTAGGTTTTGGCAAATCAAATTCTTTACGAGGTGCAGCTTTCCGCCACGTTTTCAACCACCGATCAGGAATAGCTACAACAAACACGCACCAGTCAGTAATTTTTTCAAACCACAGTGTATAATAGCGTCGCTCCCAACCACACTACAAATTATAATATGTACTTAAAAATAAGCTGTTGCAACCCAAATCCATAGTCTTAGTTTGCTAACCTTGTTCTGTGTATTTGGTACCAAACCACTTTTCAGTTTTATCAAAAATTAGCCCAGGGGGTAGGTTATTACACAAAACAATGATATTCACTTTATCTGGTATTAAGCAATTTAGTACCATTTTAATAGCTTCAGGATCATACTCAAAAAATAGATCCGACCCCGTTAAGTAGTTTTCAGGTGGATAAATTTGCATCGCTTCCGATAATTCTTCTACAATTTCAACTGCCGTTTCTTCAGCGGCAAACTTAAAAGATGTATCAGCAACTATTTTCATCTCTTCGTATAGACGTTCTTGAGGTCCAATAGTTGTTACCATATTGATGTAAGAGAACACACTTTCAATAACCTAGACATTCGCAAAATTATGAATTATAACGCAAGGAAATCCACTGACCTCTGATAAGTGTTCCAGGCCTTCTTTAGTCAGAGTCATGTTTATTGAAAAAAGTGCATACAAACTATTATATTCGCTTCCGGATTCGCCATTGCCAGCTGATATACTTAACACCCAAACCCTACAAAACTTGCTTTTATAGGTGAAAATAAATAAAATATCAAATACTTTTTCTTTAAGTATGACAATAAACTTCCGTTTCCTTCGTCTCCAAGAAGGAAAGAGACATATTCCTGCGGTTTACTTTTGTATTTATCAAGAAGAGGGGGTAAAGCCCACGTCAATTCCAGCTAGTAAAAGAATATAAAATCTAGTGACAAATGTTTTTGTGGTAAATACCTGCATCAAATCGTGTACAGGTTGGATGTAATATAGTTTTTTGAACTCCGGGGTATCAAAAACGTTTTTAAACTGTGAAAAATCATCAGGTGGCTGATCATTGGATGGTACACTGTTGAAACAGTCCAGCACATACGACTCCAAAACATTCATCGGAAGCCTAGCCTACAATAGGGAAAGCAAAATACATAGGGTGTCAATACGTCGCGCTCGTCGATTTATCTTTAATTATTATTATTATTATTAAATGCAGAAAAAACAAAGTTGTGGGCTGCAGAACTTAAAATGTTTGTAAAGTTTTAAAAAAGGTCAATGATGTTACCCAGAGTCTACAACTTTGATTTTTGACTTGTTTTGTATTCGTAAAAAGATAATCCAGAGCAATGTATACACCCTATTTGAAAACTGAATCTATGATTTCGTACTTTCAATGAACTTCATATTCAAATTTAATAAATAAAAATGTAAAGCATACGGTAAATCTATTAATGAGACATTCATAAATAAATAAACACAAACGGATCATTTTAGGATTTATACAGATATAAACCAAAATTTAGAAAAATCAGAATTCCTTGAACACAAAATATAAAAATTGTAGAAAAGAAAACTGGCATGTGGAAATCAGTTTTTACAAATTCGGAAACTAGTCACCAAACATAAATTATACAAATATGTCTGACATAATGAACATAAGTATTTAGTCATCTTGCTTAATTTTGCAGTTTCTGTTAACTTTTCTATAAAAAAAAACGTTTTAGTTAACTCTAAAATTTTGCATATGACTGTAAATTTTGTCCTATTACACTTTACAACTACAATTTTCCATAAAAAAAACGAATTAGACAAGAAGCTTATCTACTTCAGTAACATAATAAACTTTAATTGGTTTAATATTAGGTTATTTTGTATTAAGCAATAAATCATTAAATGGGTCTCTAAACCATTGAATTTTCAAATTATTGTACAATATTTCTCTTTATTTTTACTTCCCGAGCGTAAGCTAAGGAAGTATTGTAATCGAGAATTTAAAAAGTAATGCATTACAATTACTCATTATTCAGTAATAATAGTAATTCATTACAATTACAATTTACTTTTGACACTTTGAAAAATTTAATGAAGACACAATTTTAGATATTTGTTGTATGGGTCCATAGAGTCACGAAAAAACGTGTTAAAATGAAAAAGGCAGTGAATGATTTATTTTACTAACGCATTTGTTACCTATTCACATCAGTAAATAAAATAAAACAAATATTTATAATTTCAATTCAATAATAACTGATATTCAAAATTTTCGTCAGCTAAGGCATGACGTTTTGTCTTAAAAACATCCGCGCCAACACTAAACATCCTTTTCACTGCGGCGCTAGATGGAATTGTTGTGGGGCAACATGTTATATACTTTATCAAAAATTGAAGAGTCGATCCTTTTGCGCCTAATTGCATTCCACCCTAGCAACAAATAAAAGTTCGATGCCAACTACAATAACTTTTAAACAAAAATTTGCATTGGTGGGAGATTTCAAAATATTTTATTGGCGACGTGCAAATGTATCATAAATATTAGTCCACCAATAATTAATAATAATCTTTAATAAAAAGATGTTCCTAAATACTTAGAAGAGGACTACAAGATTCTGTAAACTTAAAAGTCTGTTTTTAATTGCTAAGATAAGACTGATTTTGGCAAAACACATACCTTGCAAGAAAATGTAGGGTGGGTGGGCGGAGCTAATGCTTGCTAAGATAAGACTGATTTTGGCAAATCACATACCTTGCAAGAAAATATAAGGTGGGTGGGCGGGGATAGTACTTGCTAAGTATGAGAGTATTGAAATATCGGACTTTTGAAAAAGTTTGCTAAAAATTCACAAAAAATTCCAGGATATAAATTTCGACGCACTTATTTATTCGAAAAAATATTAAATGCTTCCGGAAAAAAATTTAAATATTCCCTTTAAAAGTTAATTAACAAAAAATACATTTAAAATAGCCATATTTCTTTTGACGATTCTGGAAAATGAACGGAGTTTTTGAAGAATTGAAAGTGAAAAAACTTCTGAAGGTTGGTAATTTACAGAAAAATCTTTTTCGGTAATGTTCGAAGTTGGTCAAAAAAAGACTGAAATTTTCAAAAGATAAGTATTGTAATACAGAGCTTTTCAAAAAGTTTGTTAAAAAATTTAAATTCCACGATATAGATCTCGACGTACTGATTACCAAAACATAGTTTGTTTATTTATTTATTTATCTCATTTGCCAAAATCACTCTTATCTTAGCAGGTACCAGCCCCGCCCACCCACCCTCTCTTTTCTTGGAAGATATATCATCGGTCTTATTTTAGCAGCTACTAGCGCCGCCCACTCACCCTTTCTTGTTTTAGAGGGTATGTCATTTGTCAAAATCAGCCTTATCTTAGTAGGTACTAGCCCCGCCCACCCACCCTCTCTTTTCTTAGAGGGTATGTCATTTGCCAAAATCAGTTTTATCTTAGCAAATACTGATGACAAATTTTTACAAAAAATAATCAAAAATTGGAAACATTACAAGTTTACTTAAGTACCTATATGCACAAGGCAGGAATTTTGAACATCTTCTCTACTGTTTAGTTGGTTATGCTTTAATGGATTTTTTTTATTGATTTTGTTTTTGTTTATAATTTATAAATGTTTTAATGTTTTTTTTTAACAATTCTGGAAAATGGAAGGACTGTTCGCAGAACTGAGAGTGAAGAAAAACTTCTGGAGGTCGTTAATTTACAGAAAAATCTTTTTTGGTAATGTTCGAAGTTGGTCGAAAAAATAATAACATTTTCAAAATATAGAGCTTTTGAAAAAGTCTGCTAAAAAATTTAGAAAAAAATTCCAGGATATAGATTTTGACTTACTGATTTGGAAAATACTTGGCGTTGTGACTTACAGATTAAATTTAGAAAATCTTAGAGGGTGGACACTCATAAAATTTTATTGTCGGATCATGAGGGGTTAAAAAGGACGGGTTCTATCGGTTACCTGTTATAGATTTGAGTGGAGCAGAAAAATAGCTAAAGTTTGTTTGACCACAAATATTAAATATTCTGCCCCTGTTTACTCAATTATTGATTGAGATATTTTATTTCTGTAAAGCGCAATGGTTTTTTTAATACAATTTCTACCAATGTACCTTTTTGAAAATTTAAAATTGATCCATAAATAGCGAAAACCAGATAATCTTGTACTCATCACAATTTTAACGCGTTGTAGTTTTTTTTTTGATAACAAAATTTAAAAAACGGAAAAGCAGTCTGGATAGAGTTTTTTACGCTCATTTCAACGGTGTAAAAAAATGATGAAGAGCCTATGTCAAGTATATTATGATTACCTGGTATTTTAACAAATTTTGTACTAAACTCGTTTTAGATTTCAACTCCCTACTGGGTTAATCTTCTGGGACGAACCAGGTATAATAATCCCAGCAGGTCAGGTAAACGATTCGTAGAGAAAAACAAAATAATTTTTTTGAGTATTTGGGTTAAAAGTAATTGTAAAGGTGACTGACTTATTCAAAAAAAATGAATCGTTATAATTACTCATTACCTGAAAAGGTATTGAATTACAGTAATGATTTACTTGTAATTAAATTACTTCCAACCACTGCCCCTAGAGTACAAAAATATAGATCTTGTACATAGCAAATGGGTTTTAAATTGTATGAAATAACATAGTCTTACACCTGTAGTTTATGAATCCGTGCTGAATTTTTGTTTTTGGAAAAAAAAAATAATCAAAACTGTGTAACATTTTGCAAATTAATTTTGAATTTTTAAAATCGAATGCTTTGAACTCTTGCAGACATTTTAAAGTTATGCTAAGCATGCAAATTTTTAATCAAAATATATCTGTTTGTCCCCCTAAAAAAATGATGACGTTATTTTAAAATTTTGCCGAATAAATTCTATTTGAAATGTGCAAAATATGATGAGTCTATACTTGTAATTTATACTGAATCAATATTTTTTAGAATTGCTTATACACCTATCCAAATTCAGGTTGTCCTTGCAAAAATGTCTATGAAGTACGCGTAGCACGCTTCTTTACATTTACTTTAACATTGCATACATGTCTCCATTTTATGTTATAAGGGTTCTGTTAAAAAAAAAATCGCAAAATTAAATCTATAATAATTTTTCGAGGAAGCTAGAAATATTTTATTGTTCTTCAGGGGCAAGGGAAGTTCTGTTGAAGAAACCTATGACCAATTTTTGTTCATACAAACATTTTGACAAACGCAACTGAGAAAACAATTTCCAAGAATCTTTTCATCTCCTAGTTTATAATTTAAAACTATTTTTTATTTGATCATTGTAACATGTGCAAATAATATACTCTTCTAGCTGTAATTTATTAGTTCTCCCCACGAAGGTAAAATGAAAGGAGGGAGCATGCCGCATTGGACCAATGCTAAAGATTTGTTTGCAAAGTAGCTCGACGAAAGAGCCATTTATGACCTTTTCCGTACTACATCGGGAACGGTCGGTCAACGAAGGAGGATCAGATTTCAATATGTATGTCATATATGCAGTAAAACGCCTTACTATTTTTATAATTATGGAACAAAAACAAAAATATTCACAACATAAAAACTCAAGTACCTAAATTTTATTGCTACCTGCTGATTTTACATTTTATAAATTATTTTTTTGTCTTAGGGCTAGTACCCGGAAAACCCTTTCGAGCACGCCACTGGAAAAACCGCCTTGTTCTTGGTGCGACGGCAATTCAATCTAATTTTTACTTCCCGAAATGGGATAGTAAAACGATAACCAAAATGTCACTAATCATTCTCACCAACAATTTTTATTTGTAAACGTCATTTAAATTTTATAAAATAACATATTCCTATTCTTGTGGTTTATGTATCCGTCTTGATTTTTTTACCCTGGGCATTCAGATTTTCCAAAAAAATCCAAATTGTACAACAACCTTTTATACTGGTATAAGTCTAACATTTTGCGATAAAACGTAAATCAAAAACAAACCACATATTGAGTTTTAGATGGACGTCTAAAAAAATTGGAATTTTTTTTCTTTTTTAAGTAGTCTTGAAGTTATTAATTATTAGAGATCAAGGTTGGCCCGATTTAAATTACTTGATTTAAATAATGATTTGAACGAATTCGTCGCGATTCTGTAGGGTGATTTTTTAAATTTCTGATCTAATTGGCCATTACGTCTACGTCACGATATTCGTCAAAATTAAACGCTTTTCTAACTTCAGGTTTTTGACCCGTGAGTACATATTTTGATGAATTTTGAAGCAGTTGTTATATTTAAATATAACATATTTTGTCAGTTACATTGCTCTCGTATGTGAAGTAAATATCAAAATGTGAGTTTGTACCACGAGTATTTTTGGTTGCATAGTTATTTTCAACAGATACTATACAAAGATTTACTTCCCGAGCGTAAGCTAAGGAAATATTGTAGTAGGGTCTATCCAGAGAATGTCTACTTTCATGTTTCCTCAACGTTTCATGACTCGTAGAGTGCGAAAAGATCGGGCTTTCGTTTCCGGTCGTCTATAGTCTGCCTGTATTGATTTTTATTAGATAATCTTTGAAACTACTTCACTGATTGCTGTCAGATTTTATAAATATTTTAAGAATGTCGCACAGGTGGTAAAAGGCTAACCAAAATGTGTCCAATGATTCCCACAAACAATTTGATGCCGTCGACGTTTCCTAAATTTCTTAAAATAATGTAACCCTGTACTTGTGATTTATGAATTCACTTTGATTTTCAGTACAATTATTTACATTTTTTTTTGTGCAATATTTTTATATGTTTCATGTAGCCGATATTTCGCTTATGCATCCAATACCTGGTGGGCGATTTATAATTTTTTTTACACTGGTACTGAACTTTATCATTTTTCGAAAAAAATAGGTTTGGTTTAAATAACCTTAAATCAATTTTTTGCTTCCTGTACTATGAACAGAAAATTGTAAAATATGTAGTTTCAAATATTTGATTTTTTTTTATTCCACAATTTGATGGTGAAATTTATTATTGAGGTTATTTCATATTTTTCTATTTTACTTATACATACCTACATCGTTTTTTTAACTACCTCAGCTTGTAGTACAAAATAAATAACATAAAATAATAAAAGAATACCTGAATTGCCAAAGTCATCCTATGAGCTGAATAATGCCGTTTTCTGAAAGTGTGCACTCCAGAATACAAATCATCTTCAGAAACATTATCTCTTAAAGTAGCTAAGTTTCCCCAACCAAAGGAATTCACAGGACTGTCACTTTGAGCAAAACTTGCAAGTAATTGCTCTTTACGGTATGAATCTGATGGTAGTGCCATTTGAAACTCTACAATTTACAACACTGAAAATAAAAAAAACACAACAAAGGGCTTAAACTTTACCAGAATCAATAGCTTCACGTTCCCTGGTAATAGACCCTCTCAGCATCAATGGCGAGATAAAAAACTGTGCAAACTTATCAAGCGCAGTCGCAAGATCTCTCTCTAAACACTGAAAATAAAATGTTGTCACCTCAGCATCAGTAGAAGCATTATCTGATCCACCTCTTTTCTAAAAAAGTCGTTTAGTTTGGGTATTGAGATTTTTTCCAATTAACATATTACTGAAATAAAAGCATCAAAATCATTCTCTTTGGGAAATTTTTCACTGCCCATGAAAACCATGTGCTCAAGAAAATGCGCCATTCCAGGAATGTTCTTAGGATCACTAAAACTACCCACACCTATACATAAACTTGCTGCAGCCTGAAATTTGTACATTAATTTTCGAAAGCGTTTTGACTACAAAATCCACCATTTTCTGCTCCTGAACAGAGTCTTCATCATCGTTATCATCTTCATCGCCGTCTTCTGGGTCCGATCCTTCTTCACTACCCTCATCGCTTTCATCTGAAGTCAACTCCTCATCATTTTCATCATCTTCTATTGGTCTCGGATCAGAAATAAGGCACGCAGTTAAACCATTTTCTAAACGTATTACTCTAAAATGTGAGCAATGAATTTACCAATCTATCTTGTGGTTCATAGTTACTTGTATTCCTTTTTATCACTGTCACTTTTCACGGGTGTAGATAAAACTTCGAATTTCACGTTGTTTTTGTGAGACTCCGTTAAACGTTCCTTTGATGCCTTTTTCGCTTTTAGTCGTGCTGATTCTTTTCCAGTTTTGTTTTCAACGGAGGTTTTATTCATGACGAAAAATTTTCTCGTGAATTGAACGTACTCTACTCTTTTCTGTAAAAAACGGACTATTGTCATAATCAAACGTCACAAGTGAGAGGTTAGGATAGGATCATTTTTACTTTCAAAGGTGGGAGAGTTCGCTTTGAAGCGGCAAGTAACACTATCAGATACTAGATGGTGCTAAATTTGGGAAATATAGAAACTGTTGCATTAAAAGATAAATTTAATATTCAAGTTAAAATTCATTTTCACCTGAGTTTTTTCATTCAAATGTTGCCGGAAAATAAGTCAGATATCTTAAAAAAAAATAGTTTTTTTTATAAGCAAATTCATACTTCATTTAATATAATATGTATTAATTTTTAATAAAGTTAACAAACACTCGTTTGTTATTATTTATAACATTACCGATTTATAAAAATACGCTTGTTTACATTACCTTTATTTATCCCATCTACAACGATCGAATTTATTGATAATGACGGCGATGACATAATATTTAATATCATACGAAAATTGGAGTTATTAATGTCCGGTATAAATTTAATAATATACATTTTCTTGTTTATAAACTAAGTACAAGACACTGATTCATTGAAATCTTATTCAGCTCATTTATTTACGTTTTTTTAATACACAAGACGTTCATTAAAAAAAAACAAAAAGGTATATTTTTCAAGTATCGATATTTCAGTTTTTTTCAAATAGAAGCTGTCATTTTATTGCTGCGTTTTACTATATTTTCTGTTCTCTTCCTTTCAATATGTCGGTGTGTCTCTTAAAAAAGTAAAACATTGCAGCAACTATTAACTTAAAAATAAAACAATATTTAACCAAAAGAAAACAAAATAGCTGAATAAGATGTAGTAATAAAATACAGGTGTTATATTTGTAAAAACTGAAATAGGGATATTTGAAAATTGTAATAATTGAAATAAATTAATATAAACACTTGGTACATTAAGACCTAATATTATTTACACTCATTTAAGAAAATTGGAATAACGTGGCAACGGAATTTAAAAAATAAACTGTGGTTATAAAGTCTGACTTTTTCTAATAATATAATTAGGGGTGCGTGCCTAGTGACTTACCCTGTATATACTCTGATCATATTAATAACTATAATTTGTGTCAGATAAACAAAAAATTAGAAACATATGTAGTTAGTTAAGTTTCAGTAATAAGAGTAATTACATTTCGCGTTAATTAACTAAATTTAAATATCACAAAGCTCTGCCAGTTGGACTTTGAAACTTGTTTTAATAATTAACTTAAAGTAGGAATGTCATTATATTCTGGTCATTGTGTCTGACTGCTTCATATGCAATCTTCAAATTGTAACACAGATTTTGAAATTTCCAATCATCATCACATGTTACTGCTTATTTTGTACAAAAATAGACTCTACTTCTATAATTATTTATTCACATCATTTTCATTTTGGGAAAATGACTTTAACTAATTTTAAGGTAGTCTAATGTAATACGGGATGTTATGTAATACATAATTTTTGTGGTATTAAATGCGGTGTAGTAAATTATAGGTTATTTAGCTTACATGTTAAAATGCAGGAAATCCCACGCACACTTCTGCGGACATTTACTTCGAGAATGGATTAAAATGTAAAAAATTTGTAAATACCATCATTGTTTTCTGATATTTAATTTATTATTATTAGTTTCATTTTTCTCTCTATAATTCTTATAAAGAATTTCAATTATAATTAAACAAAGATTTCTATGATACGACATTCTTATATTTTTGTTTTACTTTCTCTTTTAAAAAGAATATACAAAATATTTTCCCCTAATTATTTTTTGTTCATAATAATAATTATTGGGTATAGCCCAATTACTGAGTTACCAAATCAAGTTTACAATAAGAAATAAAACAAAGCATAAAAAGAACAATAAAGTTACAGTAAAATTGTCAATTTAGTGTTCTGTTTGAATAATAATGAATTGCTTGATACAGTGGTGACGATTTTCAGACGTTAGTTTTCAGTTCAAACGGAAGTTCAATTGGATGTATATTTGACCCAACAATTGAGACAATCAATGATGTAATTTATTATGTTAAATTTAAATAGTGTCTCGACAAATCTTTCTAATAAAAAGTGATTTCAATAAACTTCATCGACTAAGTAAGCAGCATTCTTTAGAAAATGCTTGAAAATTGGCGTAATCTTCGAACATATGATCTACACTTTTTATAACCTTAAAAAAAATTGAAATTAACTGTATTGTTGTTTACTTTTGCTCGGAATATTTCGAACAACTAGACTTGATATTTAAATTACTTTAGTTTCGAAAGAACAAAAACATTATTTATTTAATAAAGACATCAGGAAGTATGGCAAAACTTACGTGTGTATGGTTTTTGAGTTGATACCGGCAACGAAGACGAAGCTAACCCAAATTACACCAGTCCTTTCGAGAAACGCTTATTAATTATGTACATTCCATAAAGTTCAAAAATTAAGAAAAAGTCGAGTGATTATTATTTGAAAATGCAGAACTACACCGAGTACAACCATACACGCACACCAATGAGAACAGTACGACTATAAAAGTTCAGCACAATAATTGCAGTTTAATATTCTTGAACAATACGTCGCAAAATGCTATGTAGTCGAGCGGCATTTTTAATTAAATGGGTCTTAAAATATTAACAACGTAATGCATCCGTTTTTACTGTAGAAATTTCATAATAAATTATGTAGGTACACTTTAAGGTATGAGAAAGATCTAGGCTTCCTCTGTGAAAATAAAATATTGTTCAGTAACATCGAGATTTTTTTTTTATTTTTAGTTTATGTTAAATCAATTTGTATGTATGCATTGTATTCCGGGTAGCATAACTTTATTCGAAAAGTTTTTCACTAAGCTTGGCTATTTTCTCGTTTTTTTTTTATTAAGTATATCTCATTTTGAATAGTAGCCAAATATCTGTCATCAAACTCAAATGTTTTGAGTTTTTGGTGGCCAGCGTGGTGTAGCGGCGGTTGTTTTATCTTTCAACATCAATAAAACGAATGCTGAAGTAACACAAAACAACTAGATATTGTTCTTCATTGTAAAAAGAAAACATAGACAACACTTTTTAAATGTTGTCTAAATTTTACACCTTATGTACACGAAAAATTTCAACATTGCAAATTTGCCAAATATGAGTTTTAATTTAAATTAGAAATATGTATTTAATTTAATGTTGATTTTTGTGCAATTGAGATGGTTTGATTTTTCGAACCTTATTCTTGTTGTTAACTTGTGAAAACTGTTTTTTAGTATAACAAAAATGTTTTCATCAAAGCGAATTTTTGGTTTAAAAATTTAAACAGATATCGACATGTTTTTTAATTAATAACGAAATCAGGTTTGCTCATGACTTTTCTGTCTAGCTCTAAGTGTTGACATTTCAGATTTTTTTAACTCAAGCTTAATTTTTCTATAGAATTCATCGTTATTTAAATAATGTCAAACTCGATGTGACAAAAAAGCTATGTTATCGGTTCTAACGTAACTATTACATACACTTTACTATTTTCCCTTCTATTTTTTTTTAACAAAATTTAGAGGTAACTGGTTCTTATATCTTATAGGTATCCCATAACCATGCACGTACCGGTGATTCATTCTGATAAATTTTCGTTTTCTTGAGATATTTACAAAAATGTTATCTATAGTTTCAACATTTTTTTTTATTTTTTGTTTTTATATTTTACCTCTCAGGTAAATATCAGAATTTTAAATTAATGAGGAAACGTTTGTCCTTCCTTAAAATGCAAATTTCGTGCATTTTTACAAAATATTGATCTAAACATTTGTCTTTTTTATTTTACTTTCCACAAAATATAGTTTTCTAACAATACCGTCGTTTCCAAAAAATTTCGGGCAAATGACACTGACATGAGAGTCATTCCCATTGCTTTTCATTGATCTATGACAACCTGATTTGCTCATCTTGTCCGAAATTTTTTGGAAACGACTGTACCTACAATTTATAATCGTTGCGGTTTATGGTTTAATATACCTATATTTTTTATGTCGATGACTTAACCTCACAATTTTAAAACCCACATCGTAGATGTTACAGTTTTTACTAAAGGTACTGTACAATTAAAAACTGTAAATTTGAAAGGGTCTAATAAGTACCAGCATCAAACATATTGAGTTAATGACTGAAAGATTTTCGGAGCAGCTTCGTTTTGAATGTACAAGAAGTTCAAATTGCATATCTACATGCCCATAACATATTTTAAATAATGATAATTGAGACCTATTTTGAAATTTTATGTTAATTTTTATCGTACTTTTAATATTATTGTTGCTGTGACTTCAGCTAATGACAAAATTTATTTTTCAAAAACGGATGTTGAAATAAAGAACCTTTAGAATTAGTACAAAATAGGCCTGATTCCGCTAACACGAAAAAAATGTAAGAAATGTAAAAGCCTCGCAGTGCCAATAATTGCAGTGCACCAGAAAAGTAAGAGACGAAAAAAAGAAAACTTATAAATGATTAAATTTATGCCTAATAGAAAACATGCAGAATTTTATCAACATCTAACTGAATTTTCTGAAATCACAATGTGTTCTGTTATTCTGTTAAAAATGTAGGTTGTACATTAATGTTTTTCGTCATATTTCTGTTAAAGTGAATATTATTCTTTGTATGCACATTATTTAAAAATAAATTCATAACTAAAAACATAGATGTATTTATAAAATATGGATTTTACTCAAGTTTCATACTTTGGCACCCATTCAATTTTATGGTCTTCAATTATATCTTAATATAATTAATAGTAGAAAATAGAATAATGAATTTTGCTTATAACATTTTTCTTTCTAGAGTTATTAAACATGTCAGAAAAATAACTTAAATTTGCACCCAGTTGATAAGTTCTTGCATTTTGATAATTAGAGGTCTCAGTTTATGATCATAGTGTAGATTTTTTAAAATTATTAAATAAACTCACAGATCTACTTATCCTGTTTTTCAGAAATTGTTAATTTCTTGTTACTCTTATTATAATAGTATGACAAACAAGGTAAATTTAGCAATATAAATTTAAAAGAAAGTAGAGTTTATCAAAAATATAACTGCGCATAAAAATCGATTTCAGTAATAAGCCACCTTTTTCACTGCAAAAAATAGATTTCGGAGAAAAACGTAAATGGGAATTCATACTTGAGTAACCTTAAAACTGTTGGGTCATTTTGGTCCTAAAATATATTTGTAATGTCACTTAAAAAAGCTGAAAAAAGTTGAGAAGAAAGTCACCTGTGATTTATCATAGGCTGTTACTTGTAAATATCCAAATCCAAGTTTCAATAAGAAAAGAGAAAGACAAAATTATTTTTTTCGTATTTTATTAATGTGGCAATTAAATCCAAACCTAATACATACCTACAGAGAGATCGAAAATAAAATTAGTCAAAGTTGGCCATGCACGAAAAGCCGTTTGTCTTAGTTTAAAATAATTTTTTATTAAACGTCACATTGACAAAAGTAATCTGCAAAATTAAAGCTTTTTTGTTATTAGAATCTTACTTCAGAAATGGGATAAAATTGGGACAAAATTGGAAAACGGTGCTTTTGATTCATTTTTGTGTGTTTTAAAAGTAGGTGTCATAATTCTAATTTTAAACTGTCAATTTGACATTTAATAAAAAAAATTAAATTACGACAAACGGCTTGTCGTGATGGTCAACTTTGACTAACTTCTTTTTCGATCTCGCGGTATATGATAGATGTATGAACGTATGCAATATTTAATGGATAACTGATATATTAATGGCTAATTTTTTGTGGTAAAATTGCATCCAACTCCAGTTGAGATAGGAACTTAAAAAAACTGAAACACTTTGTATATAAACGGAAAAATGGCATCAGAGTAGGTATAAAAAATTATGCATCATTATGACACTGGGATATGCAAAAAATCAAACACATGCCATCCTAATGAAATTAATCATTTTTTAGCTTTTTTATTTTTTCCAGTGCTAGCGATGCACAAAAAATACTTTTGACTGTAATAACCACATATTTTTTCTATCGAATTCTGAGCATTTCGTTTTCGCCTTATGTGTAGAGGTCGATACGTACCGCAAAACACGACCACATTTCATATTATAATGCACTTTGTGCGAAAGAAATCCCCCTCGTAATTCCCGAATTCTCACCACAATGTCTGACGGATTGCATAACCTCGGGCCTCAAGCCGCCGAACTTACAATAAACCGATTGGTTTGTTAGTTTATTAATAAAAAGCATGGTGGGGCGACGCCGGCAAGTTTGCACGTTGTTGAAATTCGTTAAGTACACGTGACATTCGCCATTCAGCTGAAAGCAAGTCAGCTGGAGTCCTGATAGCACGCCGTAGTGGGGAGCCGAAGGCGGAGCTTTGGTCCTTACACAACTCCTGCCTAAGCGCAACAGTGTCCTCCAGAAATTCAGTTCCGACCGAAACGTCGTGTGTAGTGGATGTACTCGCTCTCGCCAGTTCCGAGCCGCAGTCGTGCTGAAGTCAACGGTCGTTCCTAGTGATGATTTAACGAAACCCAAACTGAACACGATGTGTTGCGAGAACGTTATGTTTGTACTTGTTTTGGTGCTGATCAGTGTTGAAAAAGTGACACCGCGATCGTTAACCAGCATCGAGACAATCCCACGAGGGTGCGAATGGCAGATGCAGCCGGTGCAGGACAACGACAGCAGAGAAGAGCCGGTGTTATCCTGCAGGATAAGGACTATTAACAGTGCGGGCTCTTTGTTAGGGAACTTGAGCCAGACTCAAATCGACCGCGTGACTGTTTTGAAGTTGGAATGCAGCGACGTGTTGTTTTTCGAGAGTTCGTTGGAAGCCAGTAGTAAACACGGAAGTTTCTTGAATGGGTTGCGATGGTTGAAAGAACTCAAGTTGGAGTTCTGCAAGATCAGAAACATCCCAGCGGGTGTGTTAAAGTCGATGCGTCAATTGCGCGTTTTCTCGCTGCGTTCGCACAACTCGGACTGGTCGTCGATGACGCTCGAGATGCACCCGCAGAGCTTCCTCGGGATGAGCGAGTTGAGGAGTTTGGACCTCGGTGATAATAACATCTGGAGCACGCCGCCGGAGCTGTTTTGTCCCCTGTACAGTTTGACGCATTTAAATCTGACCATGAACAAGCTCCAGAACGTGTCGTCCCTCGGGTTTTCCGACTGGGGTAATGGGCCGCTGGCACCGGGCCGGGCTTGTGTCAGCGGGCTGGAAGTCCTCGACCTGTCGCACAACGACATCATCGCGCTGCCTGACAACGGGTTGTCCGGGCTCAGATCCCTGGAAGAACTGCATTTGCAAGATAACGCCGTTTCGACGCTGGGAGATCGCGCCTTCGTCGGCTTGACAAATCTGCACACGCTCAACTTGTCGAGCAACTGTCTTGTCGCGCTTCCGCCAGAGCTGTTCCAGTCGTCGAGGGAGCTGAAGCACCTCTACATCCACAACAACTCGCTGAGCGTGCTGGCGCCGGGGCTCCTCGAAGGGCTCGATCAGCTAACGGTCCTCGACTTGTCTCGCAACGAGCTGTCCAGCCGCTGGGTCAACAGGGACACTTTCGCTGGGCTGGTGCGACTGGTTGTGCTTAACCTGGCCCACAACGAACTCACACGCATCGACGCCAGCGTGTTCCACGACCTCTACACGCTGCAGATCCTCAATCTCGAGCACAATAACATCGATTTTATTGCCGATGGGGCGTTTTCGGAGCTGAAGAACCTACACGCGCTTACGCTCACCCATAATTATATCACGAGGATCGAAGCCTACCATTTTTCTGGTATGTATGCCCTCAATCAGCTGCTGCTTGACTCGAATAAAATCGAGCACATTCATCCGCATACCTTCGAGAACGTGACTAACTTGCAAGACTTGGGGTTGAACGGGAACATGCTGGGCGGCGTTCCGGTCGGTATCGGGAAATTGCGCTTTTTGAAGACGCTAGATTTGGGCAAGAATCACATCGAGCTCGTTAATAATGCGTCGTTCGAGGGTTTGGACTCGCTGTACGGTTTGAGGCTGGTCGACAACCACATTGTAAACATTTCGAGAGATGCTTTCTCCACTTTACCTTCGCTGCAAGTATTGAACTTGGCATCCAATAAAATTAAATACGTGGAACAGAGTGCTTTTGCTAGTAATCCGACCTTGAAGGCCATTAGACTGGACGCCAACGAGTTAACCGATATAAGTGGCGTGTTCACCAATTTACAGAGTTTGGTTTGGTTGAACGTTTCGTCGAATAAGCTGCTCTGGTTCGACTTCAGCCATTTGCCCTCGAGCCTCGAGTGGCTCGACATGCACGATAATAAAATAACCGAGCTGGGAAATTATTATGACGTAAGAAACACGCTGAAAATTAAAATGCTGGATGTTAGCTTCAATTCAATAACAGAAGTGCACGAGAACTGCATTCCGGACAGCGTCGAGACTCTCTTCTTGAATAATAACCAAATAACTAGCGTTCATCCGAACACTTTCGTGAAAAAACTAAGACTTGAGAAAGTAGTTCTGTACGGGAACGATATCAGATATCTTGACCTCGCAGCTTTGAGTCTGACACAGGTCACCGAGGACAAAGATCTTCCGCAGTTTTACATCGGCGGAAATCCTTTTCGTTGCGATTGCCGCATGGAGTGGCTGCTCAGAATCAACCATCTCAGTAATCTGCGCCAGTACCCCCAGGTGCTGGACCTGGACACCGTCCACTGCGAGCTGGCGCACGCCCGGGGCTCGCCCCCTCAGCCTCTCCTTAGTTTAAAACCGTCGCAATTCCTCTGCCCCTACGAGACCCACTGTTTCGCTCTGTGCCATTGCTGCGACTTCGACGCTTGCGACTGCGAGATGACGTGTCCGACCAACTGCACGTGCTACCACGACCACACGTGGTCCAGCAATGTGGTCGACTGCAGCAACGCCGGCTACACTGCCGTCCCAGAGAAGATACCCATGGACGCCACCGAGATCTACTTGGACGGCAACGACTTGGGCGAGCTCGGCAGTCACGTCTTCATCGGCAAGAAAAAACTCGAGGTCTTGTTTTTAAACAACAGCAACGTGAGGGCCGTGCACAACCGGACCTTCAACGGCGTCAAATCCCTCAAAGTCCTCCACATGGAGAACAACAACCTGGAGGAGCTGCGCGGCTTCGAGTTCGACCAGCTTGAGCGCCTCAACGAGCTGTACTTAGACCACAACAGAATCTCGTACGTCAGCAACCAGACCTTCAGGAACATGCACAAGCTCGAGGTGCTCAAGCTGGACGAGAACAAGATCGTCGATTTCATCCCTCAATGGGCAGTTTCCGAATCTGGTGCGGTTCCGCGCGTGACTCTCGACGGCAACAAGTGGTCGTGCGACTGCAGTTCGTTGGGGCGTCTGGAGAGCTGGATCCGGGAGACCGGGGGAGACCCCTCGAAGCTGTATTGCGTGGATCGCGACGATTCCGAGACCGTGGCCGAGGTGATCACCCGCTGTGATAACAAGGACAACGCGATCGCCACGTCTGTGATCCAACGGGAGGTGCTCAAGAATAACCCGTTGCTGGGCGGCAGCTACGTGCCGCTGCTGGCCGCCACCCTCGTCGCCGTCATCGTTTTTTGCCTGTTGGCGGCTGTCATTTTCGTGTTCCGCCAGGACGTTCGCTTGTGGGCGCACTCGAAGTATGGGATCCGGATTTTTCAAGACGCCGCCACTGCGCACGATAACAAAGACGAACGTGACCGTCTTTACGATTGCTACATGGTCTACAGCCACAAGGATGAAGAACTGGCCGCAAGGATAATTGCCCCAGAACTTGAACAACTCGGACACACCCTCTGTCTTCATAACAGGTTAGTTTTTTTTTATGGATTTTTGTTGTTTGAATTTGATGAGTTTTGTTTTTCATTACTAAAGGGCAGCTGGGATTTAAATACGTTTATTTACGTTGTTTGAAAAAAGTAGGTAGATAATTTTGTGTTAAATTTTTTTGTTGTTCTTTATACAAATGAACGGCTCGGGGCAATACGGATATAGAATGACATATTTGAAACGATCTGAGAAAATGTGAAATAACATTGTAATAATATTGAAACTGCGTCATGTTTTGTTTATTAATTGATCAAGAATACCCTGGAATTTTTAAAATAATGATAACAATATCCAATTCTTTTGGGTGTTTGTAAACAAGTACATATTTTTGCAATTTATTAAAGGTTTTAATTTGATTTTCGGCTGTACCTACGTGTCAATAATACTGGAAAAGATGATGTGTTAAAATGTGAATAAATTCTTGAACGTTTTTATTAAATTTATTTAATATATAAAAGTTTATTACTAATGTGGAAAAACACAAAAAAGAATATTAGATGTCAGAAAATTTGGAACTGTGGGCCGATTTGATGATTGTAGCCATGCTAGGCTTATACATTTAAACTGTTTTAACATTTAATACTTTTTTCCTCGAACGATTTATAATATACGTTACCAAGTTTTAACCACCGGTCAAGGACCTACCGGAAAAAAATTATTGGTGCTTTTCAAAAATTGCTAACAACATCTACACGTGAAAAGTAGATTTTTTTAATGAAAATAAGCTGCATTTCTCAAAAATAAAATTTCTTTTTTATCTATCTTGTAAAAAATAGAATTTACTAATTGTTTTTAGAAAATGTTATATTTTATGTATGTTACTACGCTATTTGAATACATGTTAACTACAAATTATTCTTTCCTGCATACAAATGTCAAATCCGGAAAGCGACAACTAAAAATAAAATTAGTTACATCAGTTTTTAGTAATGATTTACATGGCATTGTATAACAGTATCAGAGAAAATGTCGCCAAAAGATTATTACGTGAACTGACTAATTTTGTAAATATTAAATTGTATAATTTTACTAAGCTCTGTACGAAGTGATTACACAATGTCGATACCTTTTTTTAACAATTTTCTTTTAATTATTAATTTTTCGCAAATCTTCTTGTCACTTTAATTTTATATTACGAGATAACATTTTATCAAATTTGATTGTTCTTTCTTCTTGTAAATTATGAGAAATTACGTAAAACTAAGCATCAAACAACCGTTTACTTATGTAATAAATCAAATGTGCCATCGAATTAACTACTCACCATTTTTAAAAATGGGTCACTAAATAATTTCCTATGATTCGGATAGACAAAATTTGATACGTATTGTACATAAATATTTGTGCAGAAAATCAGTGAATATGGAACGACACAGCCGTCGGAAAGTGTTCTTATGGTGTACTAGTTTAGGCTACCTCATGTGTAAAAATATAGTTTTTGAAAAATTGGAAATATGTACCTATTTATGGACTATAATTTTATCAAAGTAAAATTGGGCGTTGAATTAAAAATATTTTGAAATGGATTTTTATTTCTGAATTTAATATACTTCTCAGCAAATAAATACAAAGGCAGATTTTCAAGTTCCAACAGAAGCTTCACCATTATTACGAACTAACTACATAACTAAAACTGTTTTTCAATTTCAGAATTTCAAACAATACACTGTTTTGGCTCGTTTTATTTAATCACTTTTTTGCGGGTTGAAATGTTAGGAAGCAGCAAAATTGAAATAATTATGATTTTAACTTTTGTGTTTATGTTTATTTTTCCTTTTGACAGTAAAATGCGAAACAGCTTTACAAAAGAAACCAAATAAGCTGATAATAGCATTAATGGTAAAATCTGCACCACTTTGTTTTTTTGAATGAGATTGATGTTATAGACTCTAATCTAAAATCAATAATGACGTACCACCGCAATTCAGATGTATTATAAACATAGATCTTTTTGAATTAACGGCTTAAAGCTCATCATTATGACCTGCAGTCAGTATTGACTTTATTCGGTAAACTCACGGTTAAACAGGTATGGTGGTAATAAAGTTAAATACAAATGGAATTACTGCTCGTTGCATATTGTATTAATGGTGTAATATTTAAATATTTTAACAGTTGAGGTCTTGATGCATGGATGTTAATGCAGGAGTAAATGTACAGAAAATACTGTTTATTACTAAAATACACATTAAAGGTGTGTTGTTGATTGTGGTGGTTTATTGTTTATTATTAAATATTAATAAAATTGTGAGTATTATTATCGTCGATTGTTTCGGATTTATCGATTTGGATTGATATGCTTTGAGCTAAATTTTATCCTGTGTCAAAATTTACATGATTTTCGTTCTGCTTATATTTACTTTTTATATACTGGTTTGGTTTAGAAGAAGAAAAAAATGCCAGTATTACAGAACGTGATTTTTGTCGACGTAAAAACCTTCATTAGAAAAGCGAAGTGCCAAAGCTGTCATGTATGAAGCTATCGGTTTTAGTGGTGATAAAACTAGGAGGAAAAATTAATGAACATTTTTGTTATTGCTTGATAAAAAAATATTATTCTTCGTAAGTGATCACTATGCTAGTTTTTTAATGAAAGCTGGGTACTATATTAAATTATTGAATTATATATCATTATTATTAAATCAATTACGTCAATTTATTAAGAATTTTATGAAAATTGTTGCACCAGGAGATAATGATCTTTAAATAACTTTAAATAATCTAGACTAGACCAAGATCATTGCAGCCATTGGTCAAATAACCATACTTTTTACCGTGTAACTATGAAATTTTCGGGATTAATGCTTAATTTAGTATTTTCTTTTCTAGTGAAAAATGTAAATACATTTTTCCAGTTTTACCGACAATTCTCAATAAACATTCATAATTACCAAATTTATAATATTTACAGTAACATATACAGGGTTTTTCAATAATCTGGCACCTTCCCCGTGAATTATTCTTCTTTGATACTACTAATAAATAGAGCCCACTTTGGTTTACATTTAAAATTTAAAATTTTGGTTTAAATTTAAAATTAATATTATATCTATGTATATACAGGTTGTTTTTTTGGAAAGTTTTCATTTTTTTGAATTTCTGTAAATTTCATTCCCTATTAAAAAAAGGAGGAAAATTATATGAGACACAAAGGCATTAAGTTCTATTTAAAATTTGTTAATTACGCCATATTTGAAGATGGAGGTTCGGGATTCTACACAAAAACTTTTAAGTTATCTAGTCTTGTTAGATGTACTAAATTGAAGGGTGTTTTAACTTATTTATATAGGAAAATTAATTAACTGTTGGTTATCTCGTATTACATATTGAAATGAGGTTTATCTTCTTTAAGTAAGTTTTGTTTTAACATTAAATTTGTTAAATCATGATCGCAAAAGAAAAATAAGTTCGAAAATCTCACAAAATACATTGTGTTCCCTTAGAAAAACACGAGAAAACCGACAATTTGCAAATTTAATCACTCTGTGTAAATAAGTTTAAACTAATTTAATTTCTAAAGGTCCATCATTAAATATAGTGAATCTGTGAATCAAAAAAAGTCTTTATCTGATATCTCTTTTTGCATTTTTGGTAAAGAATCTGTGCGGAAGTTTGTATTAAAAAAATGATCTAAGGTTATTTAGACAGAAATTCCTTATATAAACAATTCTAAAAAATATTAATGCATTGATGAATCAGAAGTATAGACGCAGTACTTTTCACGTTTTAGAAGAATTTTATTCCACAAAATTTTGGGAGGGGAAAAACTGATACATTTTGATCTACACTATATCCATAATACATATACAAAATCTACGGAAAGTAAAAACAACTTTGGGGTGTAACCCTTAAATAGAGCACTCTGTATATCTGAAAATATGTCTTCTCCTAGACTTTGGTGTAATATAAAATCAATTTGATCAAATCAAATAAAAAAGAAATTATTCTGAAAATTGAATTCAAAGAATTTTTGGTTCTATTCACACCCGATATAGGTTGTGACACGGATTCAGTTGAAGAGATATGTATGTGTAAAAAAGAAACTTTTTTCCAAATTTTCGTGTCGAAAGTAATAAAAAGAAAAGTATCATGATTCGGTCAAACTTGCTTTAATTTTTATAAGGAGAGTTTTGCAACAAAGTTAAAATGATTATATACAATCTATTAAGAATTGGTATTTTAAATTTTCTAAAGCAAAATGAAATAACTTAGAGAAAACGATAATAGTTTATTTATCCGAGAAATTATAAAATTTGGTGCAGGGTTGGAAAAAAATAAAAAAATTGCTAATTTTTTAAAAGATCATATTTTTGATTTCTCTTTTCCAGCTTTTTCGAAAAATTACATTTTAGACAGTATTTATTTGACAAAATTTTGAGATGACATTAATTTTTGGCGGAGGTGAATAAATAGATATATGTATTTTGATTATCTGCAAATTTACCATGCTTACGATAACTTTAAAACGTTTGTAAGATATCAAAGCATTCGTTTCTGCAGTTCCTGATTTAATTAATATTATAAATTGACTCATTTTAAAAACTATGAGTAGGTTGATGAACCACAAGTACAGAGGGATAATATTTTGCATATTTCAGAGAAGATTTATTCAGCAAAATTTTGAGGTGACGTCATGCCAGTGGTGGTGGTGATGATTAGCCAAATTTTGGTTAGCGTTTTACCATCTACATAATATTCCTAATATACATACAAAATTTGACAACAATCAATCCAGTAGTTTTGGAGATTATCTGCTGATAAAAATTAACACAAACGGACGGACTGACGATGGATTCGACTATTAACTTACGCTCAGGAAGTCAAAACCAAAGTTAGGAGTTTTAATTACATTTACTCCGCTTTTGATAGCGGATTATATTTTATAGAGTTGTTTTAATTTTCATTTTCACGTATTTTAAACACATTCACAAGCATGCGACTCCATGTTATGTTTGAATCGTGCTAAATAGTAACAGGCTGCTTATGTTTACAAAGTTTACTCGAATATTTTTAATTATTAATGTTTTATTACAAGTATATTTGTTCTTAAAATAAAAATTGATCTAGGGTAGTACGCCCGTGAAAAGCAGTCCAACACCGAAAATGATAAAAATTGATTTTACGATTTTTATTTTTTGCATGATAATTCCTATAAATTAAAATCTAGGCGGATTCATGAACCACAAGTTTAGAATTAATGGTTTAAGTTTTAAATAGCATTTCATTTGCAAAATTTTTAGGTGACGTCATCAAAATATTTGTGGGGATAATAATCAGACAAATTTTAGTTATCGTTTTTAATACGTGTTATTGCGTGAAACGTAATAATCTAATAACGATCAGTACAACAGTTTCGGAGGTCTGTCTAATTAATAAAATCGACACAGACAAGAGACGATAGACAAACAGACGGAAGCGGGAAAATTAAGCGTTTTATTTTGTTGGAAATATTTTATTCGATGTATTTTGATTTACACTGCATTTAAAAAAATCGTAACCAATATATTTTCGTAATTTGAAAAAAAAAAGTAAAGGCAAGAATCATTTAAATCAGTGATTTTTTTGGAAAAAATTCATAATCGGTCCAATTCTGATTTGGTGTCAAAAACTAAACTAAATATTTTACAACTGAAAGAAAATCATCCTTAATCTATTGTACACAGGGAGCAAATATGTGTAAATAAAATATCGAACCATTATTTATATAATAACAGAAGAAAATTAATAATATATATCATAACAAATAAATCTAAAAGTTAGTATACTTAGGAATATGTCATTAATGCATTATAGGTACATACCTACAAGAGAAAGCGCATTAACAATTTACTAACAAAAGGTCGCGATCAATGGTTCAAACAAAAGACTCCAATGACAAATTTTCCTTTGTCAATTTCATATTTAAATTTTAAATAGTAATTTGAAGCGCAGATTCACAAGAATGTTATTTTGAATCTGGATTGTTAGGTAAATAAATATAAGCGTATTCGCAGTAATATAGAATTTTTATAAACAGCCAATTCTAAGATTTCTCCTAAAGTATTGAGGGAATCACCACCAGTTCATAAAGTCGACATATATGATTAGTCGGTACAAAAACATTCAAATTTCGAATTGCACAAAATTAAAACATGAGATTATCAAACAGCTGTCCAGCAGAATTAAATTTAAATAATGTTATGTTATATCTCTTTTCTTCTGCCAGTTATTTAATGAAGGCATAGCCATAGAAAAAATAATGTACCCTTATCTGCCATGATCGAATTAATTTTATTTCATTCCATTTGTGCTTACTGTCAAAGCAAACGTTTTAATCGTACACACTTTTAACATTAGCTTCTGTTGTTTTTCAGAGACTTGGCACTCCACGGCGGCGCCTCGTACCTCGCCGACGCCATGGTAGGCGCCTCTGACGCGTCCCGGCGCGTCATCTTCGTGGTGTCTCCGGCCCTCATCTGCAACGAGTGGTCCCGCCCGGAATTCCGCGCCGCCCTCCAGGCCGCGCTCCGAACGGCCCACCGCCACAAGCTGGTGTGTGTCCTCAGCGGCGACCCCCTCGAGCCCATGGACCCGGAACTGCGGGCTCTGCTCCGCGCCTGCACCGTCACCCGGTGGGGCGAGCGGCGGTTCTGGGAGAAGCTGCGCTACGCCATGCCGGACGTGGCCAACGGCAACCGGTCGAGACGCAGTAAGAAGCACCACCAGCCGGAAATCCGGTGCAAGGTCAGCGCGAGGTACACCGCGGCGCCCACGGCTCCGGACTCCTGGTACAAGTACCAGGCCATGCCCGGAGTGCACGCGGCCGCGTTGACACCCACGCCCACCCAGAGCACCTACGTTTCCGGGGAGTCGGCCCGGAGCACGGAGGACGAGGCCGGATCCAGCGCTAGTAGCCAACATTATGGGTCGGAGCAGCTGAACCACAGCTACGTCTCCATCGATGGGCGGCCTCCGCAGTACACCCAGTACCCGATGTGTAGGCCTGAGGTACCGCACCATCTCTACTCTACCATACCGGATAGTCAACCTCAGTCGAGGACTTACTTTGTGTGAATGTAAGTTGATTTTTAAAGGCTGTTTTACTTAACGGATAGGATTAAAGACGTATAAAGCAATTTGTAGTTTTCGTAATTAATATTCAAATGTCACTAGTTCGTAATTACAAGTAAATTATTGTTGTAAATATGCTGTAAATATGATTCGAGAACGATATTTATTTATATTGTACGTGTAGTACTATTTACTAAACGCTTATTAGTCACTATTTTAAGTATTTGTACATAATTCTAGTTTATACTACTTATCCATATTTAAGTGAAGACTGTTAAATATGTACATTATTCTTCGAAACTATTAAAACATTTTTATATACAAAGCTACTGTTTTTTATTCATGAATCTACGAGATTATTCACTGAGGTACTTTAAAATTGCTGCTCACCAAACCATGACAGTTGATGCTAAAACTGATGGAAAACTACTTACTGTTCTATCACCTTGACCACTGCAAACAGCGTCGGTGGTCATAAATTTTAAGATGATCGTCCGAAAAACTCAATCAATATCGTGCTCCTATTCAAAAATAATCTGTTTTAAACTAACACATTCACTGATTTTTTTTTTCATTTACCTTAACCTCCTTCTTGTTTCGACTAGAATTGCTAATTCGATCTTTTTGTTTTAAAGCCTCGCATTCATTCAGAAGGTGGTTTATAGCTGGCAACGCGCCAACATAATCTGCATAATAGTTCTTCGTTTTGCATCCAGATACGTGCTTGCTCGTCACCTACTCTGAATCATGTTATAATGACTCAAGTTGTTAGTTACATCTCTTTTCGTTTTTTTTTTTTTATATTTCTCCTTATATCTCACACTGCTGTACCTGTCAGTTTCTTATCTTATACACTTAACTTAAATGTCATATTTGCTTCATCAAGTCTTCATGTTGTCTCCCGCTTCTTTTTGCCTCAACTTCTTCCATACATTTTTTTATTGTGTTTTATTTTCCCGACATTTAGTTCGCATTTTGAATCAATTTTCTTCGTATTTCCCGGACCACCTGTCCTTGTCCCTCCGTATTTTTTCTGCTTCATTTTTTAATATACTTATTTTCACATTGTTTCCATTCTGTTATTTATTTTTTTATTTTTTTTCAACAACTAAGTGTGCTAACGATTTTCACAACTGTTTTTATTTAGGCAACATTCATTGATGATTTTAGCTGCAGTTTTCCTCTTTATTCTTTTATTATTTTAGGTATGACAATTACACCGTTTTACTGGATTTTTCATATTCTTATCTGTGTTGTTGAAAGTTTTTGTTATGTTTGTGTCTACTTTTTTGCTTTTATTTATATTTTGTTTTCCCATGCTTAGTTTTTTACTTTACTATTTTTTACTTCTTCTACAACATGACATCTTTAGTTCCTATTCTCTAATTTGTTACGAACCTAAGTTCCTTAATTCCTACGAGCCTAAACTTTGCTTTCGGATATCTATCCAAATTTCTAGCTCCTATATATCCAGAATACAAAGAATATAGTCAAAATCTAATAGCACTATTATTCAGTAGAAAAGTGACTGTGCGAATTAAGTAAAAGTGAAACATACATTGTCAAAATATGATAAATGAATTATAAGCTTTGGTTCCAAAGTTCCGACTTTGGGTGGATTCCTCTCGGGATTCCCATGAACTCTTAAAAGTGGGACGGCAAATAGAGAAAATATTTTAGTCCCTACATGTAAATTGCGACTTTCGCAGAGCCTAAGAAAGATCTAAAATGTTCGCTACTCTCATTCTAGAGAAGCAAATACACGTTCTTATCAAAAGATTTCTTTTATGTCCTTTGTTTCTTACAATGAATAAGTTAAAAAAATCTTTTTCGACAAAATTTCGACAGAACTTCCTTACTTTTGAAATAACTACAATAAAACATATCCAGCTAAAAATGATAAAAATTGATTTTACGAATTTTATTTCTTAAAGTTAATATACATATATATTTGTAATGTTAAGGTAAATGTAAAGAAGGGTGTTTCAATTGAGTTTTTATTTTACAAAATTTTATGATGACGTCTTCCACATTTTTCCAAGGTCCATTATATCAATTTGGATAGGTGCAATCTAATTACTAATAGTAACACTGTATTCCAAATTTTCGGGAAAATGGAGTGAGCTGTTCCTGATTTAATCAAGAAAATAAGATGATCCGTTAATTAATTTTTTTGGGTCACCTCTATAAGCAATTCTAAAAAATATTAATGGAATGATAAATCGCAAGTCTTATTATATTTTGCATATTTTCAAATGTATTTATTAGACAAAATTTTGAGTTGACGTCATAAATTTTTTGGGGAAGATAAACAGATATATTTTGATCGAAAAATTTGTAGGTGTATAATTACTTTAAAACGTCTGGAAGATTTCAAAGCATTCGGTTTTGCAGTTCCTGATTTAAATAAATTGATTTATTCTTTTTTTTTGTGTCACCTGTAGATAAAAGATAAAAAAAATATTACTGCAATGATAAATCACAAGGACAAACTCGTCATAGATCACAACTGCGAACTCATTATATTTTGTACCTTTTAGATAGAATTTATTCTGCAAAATTTTGAGATGATGTCGTCAATTTTTGGGGGTTAAACAAATATATTTTGCTTAAAAATTGTCATGCTGACGATAACTTTAAGACGTCTGCAAGATTTCGAATTATTCAGTTTTACAGATTCAAGAATAAATTACAAATTGTAATAAAATTCAGACTTTTTTCCAAAAATCTGGATTAGACAAAGTTTGGTTAGCGTTTTACCATTTACATGATATTTATAATACACGTATAAAAATTGACAACAGTTCTGTAGTTTCGAATATTGCGTGTCTAACAAAAATCGACACAGACGGCGGACAGACAGACGGACGGAAACGGGAGACTTGTTTTTCGTTCTGTACCCATCCAGAAAATATTAAAGTAGCCAGTCACCCGATGGACTTGTTTACAATACTTCCTAAGTTTACGTTCGGGAAGTAAAAACCAACCCTTTCTTTTTAATACACACTGCTCTTGCAAATATTTGTTTGTAGCTGGCACGATTTCTACCTGCCACCGGCACAGTGTCGTTTAGAAATATGGTTGTCCTTCTTTAAATTCAAAGGGTTACACAATTTTAGTGGAATATACACGAAACCTATAACAAAGAAACATACAGAAAAATTTTCGTATTTTTCATAATTAGCATAAGCTAAGGAAGTATTGTAATCGAGTCCATCTGGCGACTGGGCGAATATGAAATTTTCTCGACGTTTCATGATTGTTTCCGGGTGTTTCATATTTTTAGAATTACTTATACAGGGTGACTCAAAAAAAAAACGAATGATGCAGTCTATATTCCTGATCAACTCAAGAACGGCTCACCCAGTTTTCCCCAAAAATTTGAGTATTCAGTCAGTACTGTTATTACTAGTATTAAACTGCACCTATTCAAACTGTCTTGCTTAAATGTTCTTTACCTGTACTTTGACGCCCACACATATCTTTATCTCAACTTATAGTGATTATTAAAAAAAATAAAATTCGTAAAATTTTATAATTTTTCGAAGAACTCGAATATTATTTTGAGTAAGTAGATGTTATTATGAGAGAAGTTCTATCTAAATATCTTTAACTCAATAAAAAAAAATGTTTTATAATGGTTTATTCCAATATTTTGCGTTAAAAAGGCCATAAACACTAGTCACGTGATCGTACTATTTTAGAATTTAGTTTTTTTTTTTTTTTTCATTCGAACGTCACAGTACTGTCTGTAGTAAAGTCTGAGTCCGCCAGATTAGCGATCATTGACTTTCTGTTTATTGGATGGTACCAATAAACCACTTAGGATTATGGTAAAGATAATTTACAGTCCTGACCTCCTCTCCGATGGTTTGTTAGAAAAAAACAGAGGTTCAGTGAATCAGATGTTCGATTCACAATACCTTTAATCCTTTTGGGACCACTAACCCAAAACCAGGCAAGGGTTGTAAATCGTCACCACTCTTTGGCGGTCTCTACTTTGTGAGGAGTTGAGTTCTTGCATTTTGGTTACACCGTCAAAAACAATTGTACAGTAAGGAAAATTATACAAGTATTCAAAGAATTTTAAAGAATTTAGTTAAACTGGGGGAAGCAGTCGTAATTTACTGCATTTCCAGCACAGTATAGCACATTTGGAGCCATCAAAAGTCCAATTTCATTAAAAATTAATCGTTTCCTGCTAAAACCACTGATCCGAAACGTAAATACGTTAACGTACACAATTATCGTTAATCATTTAGGGTTACGTAATCATGGCACATGCGCAGTGGCTCCATTTATAACGTATACTGTATTCGAAAGTGTTGTTGCTATAATTCTCCACCAGAAATGACGTCAGGTTACTATATTCCTAGCATTTTAGGGAAGTTAAATGAGGCATTTCTCAGATAATCGATCGAATAAAATTGTTCATACATTAATTTCTATCCGACATTCTATGCAAGCAGTTCTAAAAATGTTTAGGGTTATGAGTGGTAGTAGCTATAATAACAACAAATTTTATTGTTAAGTCGCTTTTAAATAACGTTAGATTAACATGAACTACCACTGATCTGATTAGCTTTTAATTAATTTAATTTAATTGACGGATGGATGGTCCAGCATTATGTGCACAGTATCATTTATAAATAACTTGCGCGATTACTTAGTTGGAGCCATAAACATTAACTGGTAGATTACCTACACTATGCACCATTTGCAGCAGAAGACAATTGATCTCTAGTTTTAGCATAATTTAAAGGTTAACTAAACAATTAAACCAATTTATGTGTTTCTATTAATATAACACTAGTAGAATCATCGCGTTATTGGTATTAACAGATAAAAGCAATTAACATACCACAGTGTGCGAAAGCTAAATTAACAATTCAGTAAGAATTCCGATCTGTTAGAGAGCACGTGAGTAATTTCACTTATTTGTCGAAAGTCTCTACACTTTATAATTATTTATTTCGATCTGATTGGAGGAGATAAATTCCGTGTTTTGTGGTTAATTTTTAAGTAAATATGGCAATTAAATAAAATGGTGTCGACATTAAACGACATTATGTCATGATATCGCTGACAAAATCTGAAAAGCCAGGTATTAATAAGCACTTATCGATCAGATAATCTTAAAACGTATCGCCCACTTTTTGTAAGTTCGCACAGTTTTTAGAAAACAATTTTAATGGTAAATATTATGGTTTTTAATTCAGCGTCGGATGTTT